TCACTTGAACACTTTGAAGCCATTATAGCATTATTAACTGGCCTAATTTCAATATTGTTATGTCTCAAAGAATAGGGAGGCCTGAAGAGAGAGAGAGAGAGATTAGGGGAATGGGCTGGTCAGTCGAGCAGTCAGAATACACACAACATATGTTGATTAGGTTTGCATCTTATATGGGTGCAGTTCATGGTGCCCCACAACAATTATGGTAGTAATATCAAAGATCACCATGATAGACATAATAATAATGAAAAAGTATGAAATATTGTCAGAATTATTGAAATGTGACACATGGAAATGAAGTTAGTACATGCTGTTGGAAAAATGGCACTAATAGACTTCCTCAATGCAGGGTTGCCATTAACCTTTGATTTGTAAAAAATGCAATAACTACAAAGTGCAATAAGGCAAAGCAAAATAAAATGAAGTGTGCTTGTAGAAAGCACTCAATAAATATACTGAATGAGTGAGTGAGGGGGAAGAATTCTTTTATGTGGTAAGTGTTCAAAATCAAATTCCTTGTTAAAGAAATGTAATTTTTATGCAGTCTTTTTTAGCAGTACAGCTATTGTATGAACTGAAAATTGCCTAAATCTTAAACGGCACAGAATGAAATCTTTAATGTAGTCACTGTTCTAGAAATGCTTCAAATGTAGCCAGCAACCAAAATCACCAAAACCCCAACTTCCAAAATTTTATTACCTGTCTGGGCAGCCTCCAGTTTAATGTGGTATGACAGTCATTGATGACTCTGCTTCCTGTTACTTCTTTACTATGATTTCTTACCTATATACTCTGATATTTGGGTCATTCATATAAGCTTTCAAATCTCTAGTGTAACTAAATGGATAATAAGGCTTTTATTATCTAAAAAATGTTTATTGGCTGGGTGCAATGGCACACACCTGTAATCCCAGTACTTTGGGAGGCCAAGGCGGGTGGATCACAAGGTCAGGAAATTGAGACCATCCTGGCCAAAATGGTGAAACCCGAACTCTACTGAAAATACAAAAACTAGCCAGGCATGGTGGTGGGTGCCTGTAGTCCCAGCTATTCAGGAGGCTGAGGCAGGAGAATCACTTGAACCTGGGAGGCGGAGGTTGCAGTGAGCCGAGATCTCGTCACTGCACTCCAGCTTGGTGACAGAGCAAAACTCTTTTAAATAAAATGTTTATTGAAAAGAGTTTGCCTCTGAGTATTTGTAAGTATATTATCTTTCACAACAAATTGGTTTTATATAATTCTTATACGCACTATGTTATGAAGGCCTCAGTGAACCAGTGTCTTGTCTTTGACTATACCTTTATTTATTTTCTATTATATTATTTCTATTATTTTCTATTATGTTCTTCATTGGGTCTTTTTATTCAGGCAGTTGTAATTTTGTCTTTTTTTAAAAATGTTTTTACTGGTTAAAGCCTTAAACAGGTTTCTTTCTTGCTTCACAATACACACATTAACAGGCATTTTGGTCACTGTAACAAGTGTAATTTTGTGTTTAGCCCTTGTCATAGATGTCTTTTTCTCATCTCAGTATGTCACTCCTATTTTGGTAACTTGCTGCCAAACACTCGTTACTTCCTGTGGATATGTATTGCTAGTGAGTTTTAAATTCTAGCTCATGAATTCCTTGTACTTGTAGCTTACTATTGCTACTTAAAAATCAACTTGAGAATTTTAGAAGTCAGAACTAATAGAAGAGAAGTAGTCTTACACATCATATGAATTTGATAAGGCTGGAAGTGTCCCCTATAAACAGAAAGATTGAGAATAATAGAAATCTACCTAAAAGATATGTCAGAACAAACAAAAAAGTCAACTACGGTTTAAAAGATGATTCATATTAATTACAGAATAACTTGATATATCAGAGCACTGTTAAATCATTTCAAGGAAATTGTCTGGGCATAATCAGGTAATAGAAAGAAACCTGTTTTCATATTAGCCAACCTTTCAATTGTGTGTTATCTATTAATCTCATATATGTTGGAATAACCATAAACCTTCTGCCTCTTGGATATGTGTGTGAAAAGAATATGGCACTTATGAAGAAACAGGCCTTAAATGAAATACTTTGGGCAGGTTAGTTTAATTTTCTGATCTTGAGCTACTCCTTATGAAGGTCACAGATAGTAAGTGACTAATTCCTGATTATAATACTTCACTGTACTAAAAATGCATGATGATCAAATTAGGGTATGGAAGTTTCCTTTAATAGCTTTTTTTTTTTTTTTTTTTTTTTGAGAGGGAGTCTTGCTCTGTCACCCAGGCTGGAGTGCAGTGGCAAGATCTCAGCTCACTGCAACCTCCACCTCCTGGGTTCAAGCGATTCTCCCACCTCAGTCTCCAGAATAGCTGGGACTGCAGGCATGTGCTACCATACCCTGCTAATTTTTGTATTTTAAGTAGAGACAGGGTTTTACCTTGTTGGCCAGGTTTATCTCAAACTCCTGACCTCAGGTGATCCACCCGCCTCAGCCTCCAAAAGTAAGCCACTGTGCCCCCTTTAATAGCTATTTACTGTGGACTCTTTAGCTATTTGCAGAATTGTTGTGGACATTATATGAACATGTTTATGAGCACTTCCCCTACTAACCAAGAGGAATATAGTATTTAGATGGCGAGGCAGGATAAAGGCATAAAAACATACATAATCATAGAGGATAACATTTAGTAAGTGTCAGATGCTAGAGGAGATTAGAAGAGGGAATAGTTATGGAGAGCTATTTTGGAGGCTGCCATGGAAGAAGGGGATTAGATAAGCAGAAAGAAGGCTGAGGATAACCTTGACTTTCCCCAACTGTAAAATGGAGTTATTACTTGCCACTTAGGGCTGTTGTAAGGATTCAATGAAATAAAATATCTAAAGTATCTAAAATAAATGTAGTGCTTTGTGACTATGTAATGTAATGGCTACTGTATTTTTTCTGGACTGAATAAAAGTGGTTCTTTCTGTCATCTTTAAAAATTTTTCCTTCCCAGATGCCTGACAACTTGGAGATGACATACAGTTTTCATCTTAAATACCAACTGACTACCTGCGACATAATGTTGAAAAGATTCTCAAACTATACCTGGTTTTAGTAGCAAAGAATGCTATGATCAACAACTGGTAACAAGGCAAATATAAAATAGGCTGGAGGCAGGAAATGGTTGTATATGGGTTGTTGGAGTGACAATATGTAAACAGTGTTTATTATTTTTGCTTTAAGTCCTACTATGACTTATTTGTTTCTAGGCTTCCTTTTACTTCTTCCTGTTAAATTTTCTTATGTAAGTTGGCAAGTGTTAGAAGTGAGATACCAAGTTTATATCTGTACTTCTGGTTACTTAGTGAATTAGCCCCAGAGTAGAAAAGAATCTGATGTTTCACCCCTTATGCTCCAAAATATCCCTTATGCATTCTTTCCAATTTATATTCTAATAAGTGAACAGTTTCTATTTAAAAAATACTTAGATCCTCTGAAAAGCTGAAGTTCTCAGTGTGATCTGCTCGAGCCAGATTATTTTCCTAATGGAGTCTATCCACGTGAGAAAATGAGGGTTTTGATTGTTAAAAGGATGAACTGGAAAAGAGTGACGTTTTTTTCTTTAAACTGAAAAAGAGGTTGGATTAAAAGAAAGATATGCCTGAATGGCTTTCAGCCTTTAGATGGTAGAATGCTGAGATGGGGATAGTAGGGTTCTAAGATGGTACAAAAGGGGAAAGTATACTGAAGATAAGTGGAATTTGTTGTAGTTCTTTGTAGATTCTGGATATTAGCCCTTTGTCAGATGGGTAGCTTGCAAAAATTTTTTCCCATTCTGTTGGTTGGCAGTTCAGTCTAATGATCGTTTCCTTTGCTGTGCAGAAGCTCTTAAGTTTAATTAGATCCCATTTGTCTACTTTGGCTTTTGTTGCCATTGCTTTTGGTGTTTTAGTCATGAAGTCCTTGCCTATGCCTATGTCTTCAATGGCATTGCCTAGGTTTTCTTCTTGATTATACTCTCTGTCCTCATTTTTAAAAATGGATTTAATGCCTCTAGTTATATGATTTCAAGTTATAATGTTTTTTAGACATATATTCCTGAAGCTTGGGGTCAGCTACATTTAAAACTATTTTTGGAGCTAGAGAACAGAGTAGAAAGTACAAAGGTTTCTCAGGATTATTACTGATAGCAAATACATGGTAACATCTACTACATAGTTGATTCACGAACAATGGAATTTCTATTAAAAGAAGATCTGATTCTAGATCAGAGTTATCCCTGGAACATGTAATGGTGTCAACTTTTAAAGAAAGATGTAAAGCACCTATTCTTATGCCTGTTTCCTTTTTACCTAGCTCTTTAGTTTAATGTGGTCACAGCGGAATTAATTCTAGTTTAACAATTAATTTATAATATAAAAGCAGTCCCTAGATTTGTTAGAAACCAACTGGTTACATACAAAAGATTAATTAAATTCACACCTATTGGAAAAATAGAACTTCGTTGTAAGAGAGTGAGAAGGATGCAGCATTGTGGCAGCTGAAATAGTTTGACTTACAGTAAGAATCTTTTATACTTCAATGCATGGGCTCTCATGAAAATACGAGGAGGTAGGAAATAATGATCTGTATCATTATCAGTTTAGCTAATAATGGTCTCTTCAAAAAGCTATTATTCAGAGGGTAGTGGATTCCATAATTTCTTTGTTAACTTTCACTTGTTTGTACATTGTAAGTTTTTCTATTAAGTTTATGTGGAGGGGTTGCCGTACACATATTTAAAACATAAAAATTGAAGGCAAAGGAGCTAATTTGTACCTGTAATCATGAGTTGTTGTTTAGAGTCTTCCTTAATTAATTAAAAAATATGGCTTCAGACTATGCCACCATTTCACTTCTGGTAATTTTATTAATTAAAGCAAAATGCTTTAGGCAGTATTAATTTTGTTTACTGATACATAAGACAAGATAATGAAGAATGTGCTTAAAAGTTTCTTTTCAATGTATATACTGTACGTTTTTAGTTTGTGTGCTTTTTTCTTTTCTTTGTTGAGTTTTCCATATCGTCCTTCTGCAGGGGCCATGCTAATCTTCTGTATCACTCCAATTTCAGTTTATGTGCTACCAAAGTGAGTACATGTTACATTTTAAAGAAACACATTTAACATGGTGATAAATCTGTTCACATTTCTGAGTTTTCAATTTATGATTTATCATTCATTAACTACAATAATTAAAGTATGCATTACAAATTACTAAATTATTTTATTTTATTCTTTAAGTTCTGGGATACATGTGTAGAATGTGCAGGTTTGTTACATATGTATACATGTGAGATGGTGGTTTGCTGCACCCATGAACCTGTCATCTTGGTTTTTTAGGTATTTGTCCTAATGCTATCCCTCCCCTAGACAGGCGCCAGTGTGTGATGTTCCCCTCCCTGGGTCCATTTGTTCTCACTGTTCAACTTCCACTTATGAGTGAGAACATGCGGTGTTTGATTTTCTGTTTCTGTGTTAGTTTGCTGAGAATGATGGTTTCTAGCTTCATCCATGTCCCTGCAAAGGACATGAACTCATCCTTTTTTAGTATTCCATGGTGTATATGTGCCACTTTTTCTTTATCCAGTCTATCATTGATGGGCACTTGGGTTGGTTCCAATTTTTTGCTGTTGTGAATAATGCTGCAGTAAACATAGGTGTGCATGTGTCTTTATAGTAGAATGATTTATAGTCCCTTGGGGATGGTGTTTCTTGTTCTAGATTCTTGCGGAATCACCACACTGTTTTCCACAATGGTTGAACTAATTTACACTCTCACCAACAGTGTAAAAGCCCTCTTATTTCTCTACATCTTCTCCAGCATTTGTTGCTTCCTTATTTTTTAATGATCACCATTTGAAGTGGCGTGAGATGGTGTCTCATTGTAGTTTTAATTTGCATTTCTTTCATGACCAGTGATGATGAGCTTTTTTTTCATATGTTTGTTGGCTGCATAAATGTCTTCTTTTAAGAAGTGTCTGTTCATATCTTTTGCCCACTTTTTGATGGGGTTGTTTTTTTCTTGTAAATTTGTTCATGTTCCTTATAGATTCTAGATATTAGCCCTTTGTCAGATGGATAGATGGCAAAAATTTTCTTCCATTCTGTAGGTTTCCTGTTCATTCTGATGATAGTTTCCTTTGCTGTGCAGAAGCTCTTTAGTTTAATTAGATCTCATTTGTCAATTCTGGCTTTTGTTGCCATTGCTTTTGGTGTTTTAGTCATGAAGTCTTTGTCCTTGCCTGTGACCTGAATGGTAATGCCTAAGTTTTCTTCTAGGGTTTTTGTGGTTTTAGGTTTTACATTTAAGTCTTTAATCTGTCTTGAGTTAATTTTTGTATAAGGTGTAAGGAAGGGGTCCAGTTTAAGTTTTCTGCATATGGCTAGCCAGTTTTTCCAGCACCATTTATTAAATAGGGAATCCTTTCCCCATTGCTTGTTTTTGTCAGGTTTGTCAAAGATGAGATAGTCGTAGACAAGGGATGTTATTTCTGAGGCCTCTGTTCTGTTCCATTGGTCCATATATCTGTTTTGGTACCAGTACCATGCTGTTTTGGTTACTTGTAGTAACCTTGTAGTTACTACAAGGAGCCTTGTAGTATAGATTGAAGTCAGGTAATGTGATACCTCCAGCTTTGTTCTTTTTGCTTAGGATTGTCTTGGCTATACAGGCTCTTTTATGGTTCCATATGAAATTTAAAGTAGTTTTTTGTAATTCTGTGAGGAAAGTCAATGGTAGCTTGATGGAAATAGCCCTGAATCTATAAATTACTTTGGGCAGTATGGCCATTTTCATGATACTGATTCTTCCTATCCATGAGCATGGAATATTTTTCCATTTGTTTGTGTCCTCTGTTATTTCCATGAGTGGTGGTTTGTTGTTCTCTTTGAAGAGGTCCTTCACATCCCTTGTAAATTGTATTCCTATGTATTTTATAATCTTTGTAGCAATTTTGAATGGGAGCTCAATCATGATTTGGCTCTCTATTTGTCTATTATTGGTGTATAGGAATGCTTGTAATTTTTGCACATTGATTTTGTATCCTGAGACTTTGCTGAAGTTGCTTATCATCTTAAGGAGTTTTGGGGCTGAGATTATGGGGTTTTCTAAATATACAGTCATGTCAACTTGACTTCCTCTCTTTTTATTTGATTACACTTCATTTCTTTCTCTCACATGATTGCCCTGGCCAGAACTTCCAATACTATGTTGAGTAGGAGTGGTGAGAAAAGGCATTCTGACTTGTGTCAGTTTTCAAAGGGAATGCTTCCAGCTTTTGCCTATTCAGTATGATATCGGCTATGGGTTTGTCATAAATAGCTCTTATTATTTTGAGATGTGGTCCATCAATACCTAGTTTGTTGAGTGTTTTTAGCATGAAGAGTTGTTGAATTTTATTGATGGCCATTTCTGTATCTATTGAGATAATCATGTGGTTTTTGTCATTGGTACTGTTTATGTGATAGATTACATTTATTGATTTGTGTATGTTGAGCCAGGCTTGTGTCCCAGGGATGAAGCCACCTTGATTATTGTGGATAAGCTTTGCGATGTGCTGCAGGATTTGATTTGCTAGTATTTTATTGAGGATTTTTGCATCAATGTTCATCAGGGATAGCCTGAAATTTTTTCTTTTTTAATTGTGTCTCTGCCAGGTTTTGGTATCAAGATGATGCTGGGCTCATTAAATGAGTTAAGGATAAGTCTGTCTTTTTCTATTGTTTGGAATAATTTCAGAAGGAATAGTACCAGCTTCTCTTTGTAACTCTGGTAGAATTTGGCCGTGTATCCATCTGGTCCTGGGCTTTTTTTGGTTGGTAGGCTATTAATTACTGCCTCAATTTCAGAACTTGTTGTTGGTCTATTCAGGGATTCAGCTTTTTCCTGGTTTAGTCTTGGTGTATGTGTCCAAGAATTTATCCATTTTTTTCTAGATTTTCTAGTTTATTTGCATAGAGGTGTTTATAGTATTCTCTGATGGTAGTTTGTACTTATGTGGGATTAATGGTGATATCCCGTTTATCATCTTTTATTGTGTCTGTTTTATTCGTCTTTATTAGTCTGGCTAGTGGTCTATCTATTTTGTTAATCAAAACCACCTCCTGGGTTCATTGATTTTTTTTTTTGAGGTGTGTTTCCTGTATCTGTTTCAGTTCTTCTCTGATCTTAGTTATTTCTTGTCTTCTGCTAGCTTTTGAATTTGCCCTTACTTCTCTAGTTCTTTTGTGATGTTAGGGTGTCAATTTTAGATCTATCTTGTTTTCCAATGTGAGCATTGAATGCTATAAATTTTCCTCTTAACACTGCTTTAGCTGTGTCCCAGAGATTCTGGTATGTTGTGTTTTTCCTCTCATTGGTTTCAAACAACTTATTTATTTGTGCCTTAATTTTGTTAGTTACTTTGTAGTCATTCAGGAGCAGGTTATTCAGTTTCCATGTAGTTGTGCAATTTTGAGTGTTTCTTAATCCTAAGTTCTAGTTTGATTGCACTGAGGTCCGAGAGACTATTTGTTATGATTTCCATTCTTTTGCATTTGCTGAGGAGTGTTTTACTTCCAGTTATGTGGTTGATTTTAGAATAAATGCTGTGTGGTGCTGAGGAGAATGTATATTCTGTTGGTTTTGGGTAGAGAGTTCTGCAGATGTGTATTAGTTCCACTTGGTCCAAAGCTGAGTTCAAGTTCTGAATATCCTTGTTAATTTTCTGTCTTGTTGATCTGTCTAATCAACATTGACAGTGGGATGTTAAAGTCTCCCACTCTTATTGTCTAGGATTCTAAGTCTCTTTGTAGGCCTCTAAGAACTAGCTTTATGAATCTGGGTGGCCCTGTATTGCTGTATTGGGTTCATATATATTTAGGATAGTTTGGCTTCTTGTTGCATTGATTCCTTTACCATTATGTAATGCCCTTCTTTGTCTCTTTTGATCTTTGTTGGTTTAAAGTCTGTTTTATCAGGGACTAGGATTGCAACCCTGCCTTTTTTCTTTTTGCTTTCTATTTGCTTGGTAAATATTCCTTCATCCCCTTATTTTGAGTCTATGTGTATCTTTGCACATGAGATGGATCTCCTGAATACAGCACACCGATGGGTCTTGAGTCTTAATCCCATTTCCCAGCCTGTGTCTTTTAATTGGGACATTTAGCCCATTTACATTTAAGGTTAATATTGTTACATGTGAATTTTATCTTGTCGTCATGATGCTAGCTGGTTATTTTGCACATTAGTTGTGCAGTTTCTTCACAGTGTTATTGATCTTCATACTTTGGTATGTTTTTGCAGTAGCTGGTACTGGTTTTTCCTTTCCATATTTAGTGCTTCTTTCTGGAGCTCTTGTAAGGCAGGCCTGGTGGTGACAAAATCCCTTAGCATTTGCTTGTCTATAAAGGATTTTATTTTTCCTTTGCTTATGAAGCTTAGTTTGGCTGGATATGAAATTCTGGGTTGAAAATTCTTTCCTTTAAGAATGTTGAATATTGGCCCCCACTCTCTTTTGGCTTGTACAAGTTCTGCCGAGAGATCCACTGTTAGTCTGATGGGATTCCCTTTGTAGGTAACCTGACCTTTCTCTCTGGCTGCCCTTAACATTTTTTTTCTTTTTTTCAACTTTGGTGAATCTGGCGATTATGTGTGTTGAGGTTGCTCTTCTCGAGGAGTATCTTAGTGGTGTTTGTATTTCCTGAATTTGAATGTTGGCCTGCCTTGCTAGGTTAGGGAAATTCTCCTGAATAATATCCCGAAGTGTGTTTTCCAGTTTGATTCCATTCTCCCTGTCACTTTCAGGTATACCAGTCAGTCGTGGGTTTGGTCTTTTTACATAGTCCCATATTTCTCGGAGGCTTTGTTCATCCCTTTTCATTTTTTCTCTAAACTTGTCTTCACACTTTAATTCACTAAGCAGATCATCAATCTCTGATATACTTTCTTCTGCTTAATTGATTTGGCTGTTGATACTTGTGTATGCTTCACAAAGCTCTCCTGCTGTGTTTCTCAGCTCCATCAGTTCATTTTTGTTCTTCCCTAAACTGGTTATTCTAGTTGGCAGTTCCTGTAACTTTTTTTCAAGGTCGTTAGCTTCCTTGCATTGGGTTAGAA